TTTTTGCCACAATCAAGTTTTCTAATATCTGAATTTGACAGAATTCAAAAGGACAAAATTGCACAAAAGTGATATATCTGTCTTGAAGATCCTAATGCAATGTTCACTGCTGCAATACTCACTATGACTCGTTATGTTAATGATCCCACTTCAATGTTCACTTTTGTAAAATTTTCCACCACTCTGTATCAAGAAAAGTGGTTGTTGTTTCAATATGTACAGATCAACACTATTTTACAGTTTAAGAAATTACTTACAGTCAGTGTTAAACAAAAATGGGTTGTCTAAACTGTGTTACCCAAAATAAAAAATACAAAAACAAAAAAAAATTATACCGATCATTTTTTTATTACCCACATCCATCAAAGTTGAGAAAATAAATTCAGCCTAATCAAACTTTCGGTACTATCATTCATATGTCAAATGTATTTGTTATTTATCACCTGCATAGTGTTTGTATCTCCATGGTATGATGTAATATACAGATGTATATCACATACATGTACAATTATGACATGATATCGCATACAACACTGAATGTTTTTCATTGTAAACATTACCAGAAGATTGTTTGCAGCTTTTGAATAGATATATGTAGAGATAAATATTATTGGAAAACTTGTGTATTAATTTTCAAAGTTATTCAAAAATATCCATGCAAGTGAGTGCAAATGAATGATGAATGTGCAGAATCATGTAGCCAACAGCTTACACAGTGCGATAAATTAGCATACAAATCACATGCAGTGATATATCAGTCCTTGTCATGAGATTATGTATGAGCATCTGAAACTATCCAGAATATTCTTATCTCGTAAAATTAAGATTCAGTTCCATTCTTAAAAAAAGCAAAAACATTATGTTATTTTGTATTGACAAGTTTTGTTTGTTTTGACATTAAAGTTTTTGTTGTATGAAAAATAGTTTAACATTGTATATATCATTATATAAAACATTTTGCCATGAACAATGGTAACATTTTCAGCAATAATTTTGTTGACCGATTGAATCTTGCTATTAAACTCACCTTTGATATTGGTATTTTCTGATATTTTGCCAAGTTATTCCCTGTTACTTGCTGTTTGGAAGTTTGATAGAATATCTACTCCGACCAATTTCACTTTGGGAGAAAATATTGTTTTCTATGGAAACGACTTTGAAATTTTTTATTTGTATTTTAATCTTCTGCTCAGCAAAATATCAACAAAATTGTAGTACCGGTATTTTGAATTTGTTATGAGCCATGTCTATTCTAAAAAAATCATAGTAAAATTTCATCCACATAATGAGCCTTGAATAATCATAATCATTATATTAAAAATGCCAAAAATTGATGATGCTTGGAGTGAGATTGTGGCAAATGTGCATCATCAACTTCATTGCAGTGGCTTTTCTGAAATGTTTTTCATCACTGCACCACATGGCAAGTTGATACAGCAGCTAGTGAGATAAATCGACCCTGATAGTTTTGTGGGATTATGGCTACTCTAACTAGATTTGCTCTAATGCTCACTGCATTTGCACTTGACTCACAATAGGTTCTAATCCATTTGCTTTTAACGTAATAATAAGAGCATCAGATGTGCACATGAAGAAGTAGAGCATGACAGATCACATTGACATTAATTTCAGTGTCAAGGCTCCCAAAACATTTAAGGAAATTAAAAAAAAACAAAAATGATTAATTCTCTTTAACGTATCTAATTATAAAAATTTGACAGGTGTGTGTGATCTAATTAAAATGTGACCATCCGACTTCATCATTATAAAATAAAATATAATTGAATTCTTCAGTTGTTATAGAAAGCTGACTGTTCTCATTTATTGGCTCACTGTTTGAGAAATTAATACTTTGTTGTCAGATACACTTGTGTTATGGATATTTTGCACCTCTCTACTGAGTCAGAAATTGAAGATTTGGGCAACTAAACATTCACTACTAAAGAACTAAGTATTGTCCTGAGAATTCTCGATAGCTGACAGGCATAATTTCCTTATATGGTCAACAGAGGGCGCTGTGACAGTTTAAAAGTTTTTCTTCTGAACAAACTGCAATACATAATCTTCTTTTACATAGTGAGTATTTTTGTTATTAGCACTCCTAATGATAAGAAAGCTGATAAATATGGGTTAAGTGTGTTTATATACTCTTAACTGAGATGAACCATTGTTTTTTTAGTACAAACAATATTGATGAAATAATTAATACACAGACTAGTTGGTAACATGAAGTGCATTCCATTAAACAAATATTATTGTATGCCCTATAAAAACAACTTCTATTCCATTGTGTATGAGAACAGTGATCCAAATTGATTTACTTTTGATTGTTTGAATGTATGAATATTGAAAAGTTTTCCATGGATTACTATGGTGGTAAGGATCCAATCTTGTACAAAGCACATTAACATCAAAGGTCGTTGTTTTTGTTGTTTAAGGGAGGGTATTACTTCAGTAAAAAGCACAATAATTTATATGTGGTGTTCGACATGAGCATGTCTGCTCCGTATGGGTTTCATAACATGTAATCCTGTAAATTAAATGAGTTTTTATTTACACAAAATTTGAATACCGGTACATGTGTTTGCAACTACCACCGCCTTTTAAACAAAAATAATCAACTTGTAATCAGAATGTTTCATCTGTACTTCTTGAACCAGTTTGGAATATTTAATTTATCATTCAACACAACAACACACATTAAATTCCTCACTGGGAATAATCATAACTTATTTCATTTCATTTATATCTTACATGTTTCTAATAGAGAGCAAACGTAGATGAACATTATCTATACAGAGCTACTTAAGAAGATGTGTATCAACAACAAACTAATTATGTCTGTGGCTTTACTGTAAATGATTGATTAGATATAAACTTAATGCTATATATATCTTTTGCATTTAATTTTTGTACTTAATAAATCAGCTCACTATTATATTATTAGTTTAGTAATTAGCTTCATATATACAGATATTAAAAAAGGATATCAA